AACAAACCACACATATGCATTCCCACCAATCAGTGCTCACCATATGTTCCTCATTTTATAATGAGTTAAGTCGAGCCCTGATTATGATTTTAAATCACGAGCTCGGTGTTCTATTAACCACATTATTACAGCCATTGTAATCGTTCCAAAGAGCATCGGTTTTTTTTCGCGTGAGCCCAAGGTGTTCAAGAGAGTTGGACATTATAGGAAGATGGATTTTAAATATCCAGTGCCTGCCTCGTGATGATGTACTACAGCTCAAAGAAGATCCCATCTACAACAACACAAACAAAGCCCTAAATATGGCGACTAAAAAGTGTATCTTTGGTCCCTCTCCAAAGCATCACTTTGTACGCGTTAAAGGAGTCTGTCAGTGACGTGGAAACCGATGTTGCTGTGCAGGGGATGGAGACACGGGGGTGGTGCACGAGCCGAGTCGGTGTGCAACGCCGGCAATCCTGCGTACTGAAGGCACGGCGGGAACGACAGTAATGTGCTATTCACGGTTATGCATGGATGTATTTAACGACCGGAAACAGGAAGACTTCGTCACCATTCTGGCTGTCGCCTGATGAAGCTGGTTGTTGTTGTTGTTATCGCCGGCGAAACATCGCAAGTACTCAAAACTATACATCTCATAGGTTTACTCTCCAACACGCCCGGCGTGCTGAAGCAGTAACTAATTGTCAATTTTGTTTACGTGGCAAACCTTACTAATTGGCTTTGTCCGGTGTTGGTGGTGGGTTAACGACACATTTATATTTACACGATCTAACCCCAAAAAACCTTTATTATTAATAATATTGGTCGCGAAAACCTACGTGTTTAATGTATGTATGTTGAACTTCTTTCGCACCGTACATAGTCAACCGTGTTAATCGGAGGTGCAGGGGGAAGGACAATAAACTAAATTTAAACATATCTTTGCTGGCATCTTGCTAGCATACAAGATAATGTATATATAGTTAATATATGGCCTGTCATTTAGATACATTTCTGATCAATTACTGTGGACTAGAACTAAATACCCATCACTCTTAAGTTCCATATACATGCACGCATTACAGTATTGTGTGTAGAGAGTTGGACATTATAGGAAGATGGATGCGCAGACACACAGGTGTCAGTAGAATGCATAAATGCATCGTGCTTTTTTCCAGGATCGTCCACTTATTTTACGCACCAGTCTCTAACCTCGCGCGCGGCTATAGCCAGGAAATTGTGGGTTAATCACCATATATCTAAACTAAACTTTTTATTTTACCAAGTAGGGCCCACTGAGCAAAATAGCTCTTTTTTCAGAAGCAACCTGGCCACAAATGACAGCTGCAACAAAGTGGCTTAATCATGTGGAAATGTATTGCAGCCAAATACTCTAAACACGTGATGTTTATTATAAATGTGGAGGGGAAAAACCGGAGGACCCGGAGAAAAATCCACACAAGCACGGCGAGAGAGAGAGAGAGAACACGCAAAGTCCACATACACAGCAGGCATCAAGGTCGAGATCGAACCCACGACCTCCTTGCATAGCAGGCGAGGTAGTTGACGCCTCCGAGCCAGCCTACGGTATCGTACATCAGAGCAACCAGCGACTCCCCAGCGTGCAGAGAGCATCGCGCACTGAGCAGAGCCTCATCAGGGCACTGGGCGACTAGACAGTGGAGCCGTGGTGCGGGAAGCGTTCCCGCAGAGCGGGGCAGGGGTGGTACCGTGGCGGGAGGGTGGTCCGGTACACGGTGAAGCAGCCAAGGACGGCAGTGCAATTGTAACAAAAAATGTTTTACAAAATAAGGCGATGTTCCTCCCGTTGTTTGCCCATTATGGGGGAGGGGGAGCAAGAGGCGGCGGTGACGCTACATTGCACAGATATTACGGCGCGCCTTCCACGTCGCGGCACGTGAAGTGGCCCTCATTACCCCGGGGGGTGGGTGGGGAGGTGCTTTTCTCTCTTCCAGTTGGGCGATTCCTCAACCCCCTCCGACAAGATCGCTAACCGGAGTTATTTCCCCGTCCCTTTCGACGCAATGGCTGAAAGGGGGAAACTGTTCTTTAACTCACTCGCTCGGCGTTCCCGCACGGTAACCTTCCCCTGTCCTCCGACCCCTTCTTAACTCTCACCCCATTAAGTCCTCTGTCTCTTTTCCCATCTCTTACCCCTCTCTTCCAATGACTCCTGTCCCTCTCTGCCCCAATCCATTATTTGCCTCTCACCTCTGTTAGCCTTCACTCGTTCCTGCACACTCCAAACATCACCCCATCCCTCCCTCCCTTCCTTCCCAATCCCCGCCAGTACCTTCAGTGTCGTATATCTTTAGCCTGTTCAACACTGCTATGTGTAGGTGGAAAAAAATACGTTTTAATCGACAGTACTTCATTGCACACGATTGCACACTCATATCGTGTGCACATTTACGATGACTCATTAAATGATAAATTATTGTATACGTGTATTAAATGATGTATTTCAATAATTGCACATTCATCTTGCCATCATTTCACGTATATAATTTCACGAATTACACAATTACTTTGCATGAATGATAGAACTCCACTTATCTGTGGTGATGTGGGGCGAGTGTGGAGGTGAACAATCCTTTAATCGACAGAGTTAGCTGCAAAATGACTCCTTGACTTAAAGCTTTCGTGACTGCAGGAATTCATATTATTTGGGTCTTTCGGTAAAGTCACGTACAGTGAGGGAAAAAAGTATTTGATCCCCTGCTGATTTTGTACGTTTGCCCACTGACAAAGAAATGATCAGTCTATAATTTTAATGGTAGGTTTATTTGAACAGTGAGAGACAGAATAACAACAACAAAATCCAGAAAAACGCATGTCAAAAATGTTATAAATTGATTTTCATTTTAATGAGGGAAATAAGTATTTGACCCCCTCTCAATCAGAAAGATTTCTGGCTCCCAGGTGTCTTTTATACAGGTAACGAGCTGAGATTTGGAACACACTCAAAGAGAGTGCTCCTAATCTCAGCTTGTTACCTGTATAAAAGACACCTGTCCACAGAAGCAATCAATCAATCAGATTCCAAACTCTCCACCATGGCCAAGACCAAAGAGCTCTCCAAAGATGTCAGGGACAAGATTGTAGACCTACACAAGGCTGGAATGGGCTACAAGACCATTGCCAATCAGCTTGGTGAGAAGGTGACAAAAGTTGGTGCGATTATTCGCAAATGGAAGAAACACAAAAGAACTGTCAATCTCCCTCGGCCTGGGGCTCCATGAAAGATCTCACCTCGTGGAGTTGCAATGATCATGAGAATGCTGAAGAATCAGCCCAGAACTACACGGGAGGATCTTGTCAATGATCTCAAGGCAGCTGGGATCATAGTCACCAAGAAAACAATTGGTAACACACTACGCCGTGAAGGACTGAAATCCTCCAGCGCCTGCAAGGTCCCCCTGCTCAAGAAAGCACATATACATGCCCGTCTGAAGTTTGCCAATGAACATCTGAATGATTCAGAGGACAACTGGGTGAAAGTGTTGTGGTCAGATGAGACCAAAATGGAACTCTTTGGCATCAACTCAACTCGCCGTGTTTGGAGGAAGAGGAATGCTGCCTATGACCCCAAGAACACCATCCCCACCGTCAAACATGGAGGTGGAAACATTATGCTTTGGGGGTGTTTTTCTGCTAAGGGGACAGGACAACTTCACCGCATCAAAGGGACGATGGACGGGGCCATGTACCGTCAAATCTTGGGTGAAAACCTCCTTCCCTCAGCCAGGGCATTGAAAATGGGTCGTGGATGGGTATTCCAGCATGACAATGACCCAAAACACACGGCCAAGGCAACAAAGGAGTGGCTCAAGAAGAAGCACATTAAGGTCCTGGAGTGGCCTATCCAGTCTCCAGACCTTAATCCCATAGAAAATCTGTGGAGGGGGCTGAAGGTTTGAGTTGCCAAACGTCAGCCTCGAAACCTTAATGACTTGGAGAAGATCTGCAAAGAGGAGTGGGACAAAATCCCTCCTGAGATGTGTGCAAACCTGGTGGCCAACTACAAGAAACGTCTGACCTCTGTGATTGCCAACAAGGGTTTTGCTACCAAGTACTAAGTCATGTTTTGCAGAGGGGTCAAATACTTATTTCCCTCATTAAAATGCAAATCAATTTATAACATTTTTGACATGCGTTTTTCTGGATTTTGTTGTTGTTATTCTGTCTCTCACTGTTCAAATAAACCTACCATTAAAATTATAGACTGATCGTTTCTTTGTCAGTGGGCAAACGTACAAAATCAGCAGGGGATCAAATACTTATTTCCCTCACTGTACGTGACTTTACCGAAAGCCCCAAAGAACAAAAATGACTCCTCTTATCCGCAAACACGCACCGCCGCATAGCGACCTTGACTTGGATGAGTCTTCGACATCTGAAGGAAGCTGTGGCTACTCACACGTCCACTCACACGTCCACTCACACGCTAATGAAGCGAAAGTTTGCGTGGACACTACTTTACCCGAGGAACGTTAGCGGATAAGTAAATGAGAACGGTGCACCAGTTATGGAAAGTAGGATTTGATCGAGATGTTAGTCCCGCCATTCCGCAATGCACGACGTTGAACCTCAGGGATGATGGTGAATGATTAGGAAGAGTAAGGGCGAGGATAACAGGAGATTTGGCCGACCCCCTTGTTACCGCAGATACGGGTAGTAATGGGTAACACGCCCACAGATAAGAGGATGGACTTTTATTCATTCGTGAACGTTGTTTCCGTACATTGCACACCGCGTATTCACGCGCCCCCCGCCCCCTGCCCAAAAATTTCCGCGCTCTTTAAAATTCACCACGACAGCTCTCGTGAGGGCCGAGATAACAAACAAAAAACGTCCGTGATTTTTCTGTTTGTTATTTCCGTGATGCCACAGCGATGGCATGATGCACGCTTCTCGCATGAATATACATGACAAAATACGTCAGCCAGAGAGTGACAACGGCGAGTGGGTGTTAGGGTAGTTGGGGTCGGGGTGGTGGTGGTAGTGAGAGAGACAAACAGGATTGAAGTGGAGGGCAAGGTGGAGGGAGTGCTGGGCCGTCGTCGGGCTTCGGGAACGTCCGGAAAAGGGTGGCAACGGTGGCGAGGTGAGGAGGGAGAGAAATCAGCCGCAGAAAGCACCGAGAGCTACGAGCCATTGTTCGTCTAACGGGCCTGTTGTCTTGTTGACTGTGCTGGAACCTGCTGCCTGTATTTCCGTCAGACGCCGCCGACACTGCAACAACAACAACAACAAAAATCGACCCTCCAGATTAATAACGTTACAGAAAAATTGGGTGAGAGAGCTGTGGAGTAGTTGCAGTTGTTTGCATGGTGGAACGTTTTTCATTCATCCGAAGAAAATTAAGCTGCGATAAGCGCGGTTGTTATTAGTCGTCGGGGCTTTTTTATTGTCTACTTCAGCCAACCTCATTTCCAATCTAATTTTTAAAAAAACACGTGTGACAATGGCAGATTTGTTTACTAATTAAGTAAGATAATTCCGTGTACAAAATAAGCGAGATTCAATTTTTCTAACGAACGTTAAAAGCGTAAAGCTGTTCTAATAGTTACCCAAGACGTTGTTTGATAGACTATCTAGGGCACAGGCTTTGTGTGCCAGACAATGCGTGACTGTACGTGTATTACTACAGAAAAAAAAATTAGCCCCCTAGACGTGTGATGTGAATGACAAGTAACCAACTCGAATTGTTTACCCCCTTTCAGTTGGACTACGCCTCGGGCAAGCAGTGAGTACACTCGCTGGACTCAGACCCCGGTGACGGAGGCGCTGGGACTGGGTGAGCCTGCAAATGGCACTCGTTTTAATTTTTTGCACAAAAAGCATTGCGGTGAAGTGACATTCTCTGCATTGGTCTGCATCAGATTAACCCAATGTCATTCCCCTCTGCCTACTATCAGGTTTTCTTTAATATCGCATCCAAGCAGCTTTGCAGCGCATCGGCCGTGTGTCATATGTAAGCCTACACAGAGCACGACTGAATTGTGTTCGGCTTCATCAAACACAACCACAAACATACCATATTTTAGCTGTACCCTTTTCTTTTGAAATCTCAGTTCATCCCACAAAACTGTATCGATCTGTTAAAATAAACAGAAAAATTTGATTCATTGCTGCCATCGGCATTTTCACTTAAGAGCAATGACTCTTTAATAGAATGAAACAATTCTCTTCCGGATATTTGAGCAACAAAAGCATGGAATTGGTCACGTTAAATTATAAGACAACGATGGGGAGTGGCGCTTGCAATGTTAGCACACTGTGCTACGAATCAACGAGAACCTGAGTTTGATTCCCTGCCATGGCTGGCATCATTCACCAGTGATGTCTAAACCAGTGGACATCTAAACCAACCGGTCCTGTGCCCCACCATCACCGGCTGACACTGACGCCCCTGGTGAAGTATGGTCACCATCACCGATTTGTCATGGGGATGTCTTCATTCAGCAGCAGATTGACACAGGGCTGAACATTATAATTATTGTATTATCATGACCGTACAATATATGCGCAATGCAGATCATTTTCAATAATGACTCTGTATCAATACATTTACTGTAATCATTCACTGACCTTTAAAAATTATCCAAATCATGCACCGGATAGAGAGAAAATACAAATTTCAGTTTATAAAATAGGAAGCCATATAACGTACTGCAATAATGCAGTCTTCAATATCAATAAACATAGGCCATAATTGACAATCTGCTGTAAAGTTTGCAAAGAAATTGGCCAGAAGGAAAATAGTAAAGAGGGAACATTATGGCTGCATTAGTAAACAGAGCAAGGCCACCCAACCGTAACGCCGGACGGTGAGGCTTATTGACTTCAGACTTAATCTGACGGAACGTGGGCTCTTCTTTCAGAATCAGTTGCTTGAAAATCAGTTCAGAGAGAGAGAGAGACCAGTTTTCATGCCACTCTTATAGACCAAAGCAAGTTTGATTTTTTTATGACATGAGCAGGAAATTTGCCTGAAATTGCTGATGACAACCCTGGGTTTTGATCGCATGCCCCTTGTGCCCCGTACAAATGGGCAGACGATAAACATGCGCTGTGCCAAATACATTTATGAACAACAAAATGCCGAACAGTTTATAAAATACTTAACAGGCAGGAAAATGTTACATCTTTAAAAAAAGATTCGCAAATAATCCTCGTAATTATACTTGTAAAAAATACACTGTATCAACAATTGCCGTAAAGTACACGCGGAGCTGTTATTAGGAAGGATAACGTGCTAGGAAAATAAGGATAACGTAATTATGAAAAAAATAAGAAATGGTATGTCCTGAAAAACAAATTCAAGGAGGAGAGGGCACTTGGGAAGGAACAAAGTGAGAATGATCTATTATCAGGAAAGATGGTTTTGTGCGTTTGTTCACGTGACAACTTTCTTTATTTGGCTGTGTCAGTGGGAGGTGGGGTGTGTACGAAACACACATTGGCATTTTACTCACGCGATCCGACCCAGAAATCTATTTACTAACCAGGTAAGATGGAGTTTATTTATACTAAATCAACTACGAGGGCAGACTCTATTAAGCCAACTGGACAGGAACGTTTTTCAATTACAACGCCCAAACTTTTAACATCGCATCAATAGATGTGGCTCAATTAAAAGACAAACACACAAGCAATGTGCCACTTAATTTGACCTGCATTAACAATTTATGATAATTAATTTTCTCTGATTTGGTGACATTTTTGTGAAAATAATCATACAGTACTGCCAATATTAGAAAGCAAATTCGGAAAGTGTAATGCAAAGTGCTGCGGTGACATCCACGAATGATAATTATAACATAATAATAATAATAATACAAACACTCCTTGGTAGGATGTCTGTACGAACCTACTTTTTTGTCATGTTCATAAAATCGGGATGTTTTATGAATTGGCACTCGTCTGTTAGCTGTGCCTTAATCACTTAAGAATACCCGATCCACTGCTCAATACAAGTGCCCTGCTATCATTATACCACTCCTCCTGTGTCCTGCAATTTTACATTTGAATGAACGCTTTGTCGTTGTTGGTGGAGCGTTAGGGATTGACAGATGTTGGAGCTCTTATCCCTGGAGATACCCAATTTCATTGCTGTAATTGAGGCACCGGACGTCAGGGAAGGTATCAGGAATTCATCGTTGATGAATTGCGCAGGGTTTACAGATTTTCACACTTCCCACCGCCATAACTCGGAAGGCCTACATCAGCTGAAAAGATAACCCATTTGTATTTCTTTATCAGAGCCACTTCCACGTTTAAACTTCACGCAGAGGAATACAGTATGCGTGTTTGAAAAATTGCCTGCATGTTTCTGTTGATTTTGCAAAACATCACCTGCCTCTAACGAAAGCGCAAATATCGAGCACACGGTTCCAGCAGCCGCAGTTCGTTTGTTTCTCACGCGCACACACAACAACAACAACAATAACCCGTTTCCGTTACTGTCACTCACCACATCTATTCCACCTAGCCCCGCTTTTACAACCAATGCGAAGGCTGACCGTAGTCACGTTACGTAATAATCCGTATACCTGGGACTGCACGGTTGATCGTCCAAGTGATTTGGTGAAAAGAGAAACTGAAGAGAGAGCCTTTGCGAGAGATAACGATCATGCAAATAGTCGCGACATATTTGCAGAAACCGTGCCTCTGTGGGTGGCTGGACGGCCAAAAAAGGATGGCACGGCCGTCACCAAGGCAGCAGATTGCTCGGTCACTGTGAATAAAATCGAACGTCCTCCAAAGTAGCGCAGCAGAACACTATCAGACCCACTGTCCTGCTGCCAGGGTGATTTTACTAGCCCCGCAAATATCTTTCGCATAAGTAGGTCATTGTGTGACATTGCCTCGACTCGTTCCATTTTTTTTACTCCTGCGCTCCGGCGGGTTTTTTTTTTGCTTATTTTCCGGGCTGTACGACAGCGTGCCGCTCCGTGGGATGTCCGACGTTTTTCTCCACGTGCTGGGGGCTCCTTCAAAAAAGGTGATTCCTAAAACAACCGAATTTTGAAGAAGCTCCCAGAATGTGGAAATTAATTTAGTTTCTAAAGAAACTCCCGGCACGTAGAATTAAATATCAGACATCATTCGGAACAATGCGCAAAACACCTCGAAAGAAATACATCAGAGAGCTGCGTCGTTTCGTTTTCTGCTCACGTGCGGGTTGTGAATTATTGCAAAAGGTCCCCTCACGCTGAACTTGCTCGCGGTAAAAAAATTATCAGTTTTGAAATATAAGTCAAACTGTCGAATGGCAACAAATTATACCATTGTTCGGCAGAAGACAAAGGGTCAAACACATCTCTACGCACGGTTAAAGTAACATAATGAACGGGCTATTATGAAACAAAAAAAAGAATGCAGACGATAGAACTTTCACAAACGGAAGTTTATAAAACCACCCCATCCCATAATGTGTACGTGTAGTCATTTTTTATTTATTCTTTTGTTTAATCACTGTCTTTAGCACTGTAACTAAGCGCCTCCAGCTATATATTTCAATGTAAACATTGGGCACCCATGCAGCCACGAGCGCATTTAGGCTCTTACAAAATCCCAACTCCCTGTGCTTCTGATCATAGTTTCATAGTTTTCATAGTTTTTAATTTATTTTGGTATAGCCCTGTGAGCCATTCGGCTCTTGAATCGGGTGCAACCGCAACAAACAAAAAAACAAAAACATGAACAAGAAAACATCTTAAAGTGACGTTGTGCATGTGCAAACAGAAAATCCAGGAAAAAAACATCAACATATTCCTGAAATAGCACCGTACACCAGCGCTGTGTGCAAAAATCCCAGTGGGATGCAAGTCAAACAACAACAACAAGAAAACTTAGATAAGGCCATCAGTCTAACTCCGTACTACAATAAACAAAAACATGGCCAAACCAAAAAACTTTTAGAAATCACCAAAATAAAGCAATAAATGCAATGTAACAGTGATCATAGGAACTGTGACCGAATTTTTAACAATAAACTACATAAATAACATGTAACACCAAACCCTAGAGCCACAGCTGGCTGCATGAGTCACTCCACAAACAACAGGAGCATCAGTCGTAGTATCACATTTTTCAATGCACCTTTAAGATCAGCACACTAAATCAAAATACAGATAATACTTTGCAGCGATCATCCGGAGCGAAACATTTTATTTTATTTTAGGCCACTGAATAGCAGTGGCAGCTAGGGTTGTACAACTCCTCTAGAGCAGTTTTGAGTGAAGATCTCATAGGTAGCGATTCAAGTTGCATCACATCACTGGCATCACACAGTGCTGGTGCTCACCAGCCCCGGATTTGAGCCCATGCAGCTAGGCCACCCAGGCAGCTTCCCCGTTCAACAACAATAAAGCTTTCATTGTAAAAACAGCTGCGTATAGGCACCTCATGACTTCCATTTTGTCTCACTCACTCGCGAGCCCAACGCCATCTGAGTTTAACGCTGAACATTTACAGAGGCCACAAAAGTGTCAATCTGTGAAAATGTACTCTTACACACTGTAATTGTTTTCCTCCCGCGGCAATTGTTCGATTCCCACCTCGCAGTCCGTGTACTTGTGCCCCGAAGAGTAATACTCAGCATATGCCGAGACCTTTGATGCCCCCTGAATTGCAAATTTTTTATATAATTACAGGGATACAATAGCAAACACATTTGAGGCAACGTGGTGCCTCTGAGGGTTGATTGCTTGTCTCAGAGTACCAAGATGGCATCAACCGTGGCCCCGATTTCAACTCATGGCAGCCACTTGTTGTTTAATCACGCGCAGTTTTTTGTTACTTTGCCCAGCTCTGACGATTACCAGTTGACGCACAATACCTCACATGGCATGAAGGGGTCAAAAATCTGGTGACTGAGAAAAAAGAGAGTTGTTGAAATGAGAACAACAATACAATGGGAGGTTCTGTCACCTACAGCGGTTATACAAGGGCATAGTTTTACCGAATTTGACTTGGTTCTTTTGAATCTGATGAATTGATGATTAAAAACGACCGTATTCAGGTACAGCCCCGCAAATGCCTGCTCACGCTACTCATGGCGGAAGGACCTCAACGAGAGGGAGCCCTGCAGGGTACTTGGTCTACTCTTCCACGTTGATCAAACATTTTGAAAGAGGTGCGTTTACACACACTTTACCCCACCACACGCGACCTACCGATACACTTTACCCATTGACACTGAGGTCTTAAGACGCTTGTCCATTGTTTCAACTGCTGGGCCGGAAGATGGAAATCAAGTTGGCACTTTCCAGAGTGCCATTGCAGCGTGACAAATGATCCTCATGGCGGTACCCCGGGGTACCAAATAAAACTAAATGGCCGAGGCAATTAAATACTTTATTTCTGGGACACTATTTTTGTCCAGGGGTGTTACTCAACTCCGCAACTGGTCTACCAATCAATCCTAAATCAGTGCCACACTCCGCAATGTGGAAACGCAGCGCGCCGAAACCCTGAACGCTCGCACGCACCGTGGTGGTGCATCGTAGTGAACAGCTCGTCCAGATGAGTCGATTGCCGCATCGCCGACCATCAACAGACTAAACGTGACTGCATCACGGACATGATGCGAGAGCCGGGGTACTATGGTACCCCGGGGTACCGCCATGAGGTTCATATAAACGTAAATATCGTCGGACGTGTCAACAATAATTGGGGGGGGGGGGGGGGGGGGGGGGTGTCTACTGAAATATAAAATTTCAACACACCGAAGTTTTAAAAAACGACAAAAAAAGTTAATCAACAATGAACCGAAATAAAATTGTGGCACTTCCACTGCAGGTGTTTTCCAATTGTGCATATCTGCAACGCGCACAAACATGCGTTTTGTTATAATCCTCGGGAGAAACAACGCTCACGGCGCTCTCAGCGGCCGCTGGGCAGGCTATCGGTCTCCCGGTTAGCGTTTGCTACATTTCCGTACGGCACTAAATAGAAAAGGCGATCGTTGGTGCACGTCCATGGTCAGCGGGGATGAGTTTACAATTATTCGGGCAAACATCTCATTTCCCAAACCTCTACAGCAGCAGCAGCAGTGATGTTGAGCTCCCCTATTGTCCTGTTGTATAAGTTGCCGCAAGTGTTTACCATAGATACACAAAGGGGAGGTCAGCTTTGTTTGAGGATACATTATTAAATGTATCCCGGGCAAACAATCGTGAGTTTATATGTTTTAACACGCTCACACCTATTTAATATGCTGTCCTGCCAAAAATAGTGTAAGCTAATGACACAAAATTGTGCCCTTTATATGGTTCTAATAATAGCTATCTGCACATTTTTTTTAATTAATAATCTTAATTCTTTTTAGATTGACAGCTGCCAATTGTACGAAAAAAATCAGCGCTGTACTATTCAATAAAGGGCATATGTATTGACACCCATTTCAGAGCATTATTAATAGTATTTACAACAACTGTGGCTGAATATTTATGAGCCTTTAAGAGAAGGTAGATCGATGTCAAAAGGTGAATATTTCATTCATTAACTTTGAACTCTATGGGGTGATGAACATGAACAACTAAGATCAGGTTTCATCGTCTCCTTATTCACAGGAAACACAGTGACACCCCGGTTTCTGCCGGGAATGCGTTCCTGAAAGGTGCGACGACGAATATCGAAACGACGTCAATCGAAGCGATTGACAGGACTAGTAGGTGGTGGTGGTGGTGGAGGTGGTGGAGGCTGGGAGGCGACGGATAACGAGAAAGGACGGACGGACGATGATGATTGCTGTCAGCGACAGTCAGTGGGAGTTGTGGTGACGCAAATCGGGCAGCGGCGTTCATAATCAAGTGACGACGCATTTGCGAAACAACGTAAAAAGAGGTGTTGCTGTATACGCACATTGCTTTAATACACATTATTAACTTGATTGCTTCTATTATAGTAAAAACGCACAATGTCAACAACAAATGTCGCTATTAAAATAACATTTAAAATGTTGTCCATGCGTGTTGATTTCTAGGTCATACATGGACAACCTTTTGGTGCGGCCTATATTGCTAGTATTTTGTTTTGTAAACGGTACTCCGCTGTAGCATGAAAGCGTTTCTTGCAACAATGAGTGGGAACAACAAAAACAACAACAGCAGCAGCAGCAGTTACAAAAAGCCCACACGCGCAGAAAGCATCCCATTCTTTGATATCGTCAACGACATTACGTAACTATTATAGTTAGGAAATTGATTGCTTCCTTTCAATGAATTGTCAACATTCCCTGCCAGCACGAGTCTGTTTATTGATTACTCGTGAGAGGGGGTGGAGGGGCGCGGTAAGGCTGATCAGGTTTGACGAGAGACCAGCATGCGAGATGAGATCCCTAAGCGGAAAACACAAACAGAATCCAACGCATATCTGAGGCTGCAAATGAAGCCCCGTGAACCTGTATCTGCACAGACCCTTCAAAGCGTTTCCTTGATAGGCAGGGTGGCTGAGGATGTGAGGAGAGAAGCTCGCTTGGGGGGAAGGTACAACATTGATACGCCCGATCGCTTTCCCGATGCGTGGACTACCGCGTCCATCGCTGTTACTTGCAAATGCCGGTGCACTATTAGAGACCGTGCTACAGCTTCACCTATGTGCAATGGGGGGAAGGGGGGGGGGCAGTTCTCACGTTTCCTACTGCCCACGTATGCGCAGAAAATGTGAGAAAGTAAAAAAAAAATGTTGTCGCCCTCGGTCTGAGAGAGCTCGGAAGTCTGTCAAATAAGGTGATCAGTGTATTTCAGCACAGGTGTTTCCGCCGTGCAGGTGAACTTGTGTCAAGGGGGATGGGGCTTCTTGTGATCATCGTGATCATCATTATGGTGTTCATTATTACCACAGTTTTATTTGGGTCTGGGTGGGAGACGTTTGTGATGTAAAAAAAAAATACAGATCCATTTTGAAAAATGAAGCCAAAATCAAAACCGTACAGCTGACACCCTTTCCATCGTGTCTCTCCATAAATGAATGATTTGTTTGTCCCAGGCTTGATATTCCTCATCAGTCTCGGCAGCCAGATTGACAGTAATGATATGATGACACGGATGCATGACTGAGCAAATCACGCCTCTTAACATATTGTGCACTTTGAAATCTCACACCTCGTGCTGAAATGATCCACATGACATGTCTATCCACATTCAACAGCGAGCTTTGAAGAACCGTATGAGGAATTATGGTTATATCGCTAGAGAGCTTAGTTATTTCCCATGCAAGGAACAGCATTAAATAGGAAAGAAAATGATGCAATTTAAATGTCAAATTTCCCTTCTATTTAATTCTGGGGTTTGGCTAGAACAGAACAGGAAATACATGACTGATTCTACATATAGACCAGGTCTGGTGTTATACTGGCAGTGTGGCGCTGCCAGCAGAGCATGCAAAGCTCACGAATTGAAGGCTGCAAAGCTCAAATCCCGATCAGTGGTCAACGCTCCTCTTCCTCAGTCCGGGGCGGACAACGTAAACATGCTTTGTGGGAAGTCGACATCTCTATTGTACAATAAATAAACTAACAATACCACAGCGATGTGGAATTCCCATACCACTTGGAGGTTTTACTGCGACTCGAAAGTACAATTTTATGTTAATTTCAGTTTAATTCGCTGCACATGAATTCTAGGTTGAGGTACATCGGCCATTTCTCTAATCTACGATGAGCACCGGGAAACCATTGTTCAGATCACTGAGTTAAAATTAAAATTTGAAGTTACTGCCCAGAATACTGCTTCATGAACCATCTCATTGCAAATACCCCCATTCAAAACCTCTTACTCATAAGCCTTTAAAAAGCTATCATCTTATTGATTACTCTCGAGGCTTCAAAGTGAAAGTAGATATTGGTTTTAAATACAAAAGCGTATTGAAGGTGTTTTGATGTCATAATTCTGTCTCTAATTCTCATACACGTTATTGTACTGTATTTATTCATTTTAGGACCTTGCTTATTTGTTTAAAAACTCACGAACATATCTCATATGCGATGACGTTTAAAGTAATATAATTCACGGAAGGGGGTAGGCAATGATACTTTTATTGCTTTTCAAATTCTCTGGTTATCTGCAATTTTTTTTAAAAAAAATAATTAATGGTTAACAAAAAGTGTGGTGTTTCACTTATCTGCGCATTAGCTCTGACTTTGAGGTAAAGACTTTGACAGCTGGGGGTTAAATGTTTGGGAAACTGGAGACAAGCAACAGTGCCAAGTTTCACAGAGCTATTGAGATGATGAAGGGACGCCTAAGGCCTAAGGCGTCGGCCCCTCCACCTCCCCATGATTAGAATTGGACCGCGAATTGGGTTTCATTTAAATCACAATATTGTGAAAGCCTATTTACAAATTATAATATTTATTACACACGCGTGTGTGTGCGCACACAAATATAAATACAACAAAAATACAGAGATATCTCTTAATCCGTATCGACCTTGGGGAAATGTGGTGTTAATGAAGCCCTACGGAAAGACACACATGCACTGCGGAATATACACAACCATGTGGAGAATACACAACCACGATCTCTGCTGTTATTTTATATTCATTTCTGCAAGGCAGCTTCCCCGTGTTGCAACTTACGTCCTATGGAATTATAATCTAATCGCTACATTGTTCCCCTTTCCTTTGCTTGCTTCCTAAAGTTGTTTACATTTCATGTTTCTCCTAAGCATATATATCGCAGCACCGTTTGTATATCGTCATGTATAGTCAAGATCGACAATACATTTCAAGAAGTATTTTTGACCAATACCATTAAAGGCACCAGATATCGTCATTGCTGTTGTGGAATCACACAACTTGTCAAGCTTTGCTCTTACAAGTTGGGCCGCAGCCACAGGATGTTAACTCCCTTGCGTGGTACGCAGGAGATCGTGGGTTCGATCCAGACCCTGACGCCTGTATATGTTCTCCCCGTGGTCATGTGGATTTTTGTCCGGGTCCTCCGGGTTTTCTCTCCACATTGAGAAACATACGTATACAGTATTTGGCTGCTTTAAATTGCCACGTGATAAGCCACTTCGATAAGCTATCGTTTGTGGCCAGGTCGCTTCTGAAAAAGAGCTATATAGCTCAGTGGGCCTTACCTGGATTGTAGAGCGCTCCCAGTAATTATTCCACACTTCGTCTGTCAATGAACGGTAGTTACCAACAGCTTAAGTGGTGACAATTTTGCATCTCAGAACCACACCTGCACTCATTTAGAGTGCCACACACACTGGTAAACAGACGAAAATAAATTGATACAATTACAATGTAAACTCATACAGCATTATATATGGCGCATCTTAGGATGTTGTAAAAGGCACACTTATAATCATAAAAAAGTACATTCATACACAATAATTTGTAAAAAAAAAAATGCAGGTTGGACAGATGAGATGCATTATCAGTCCTAGGGATGTATTAGTATAATTTAATTTCTGTGATTGAGAGGCTACAGAAATAATTAATGTGACAAGTAATACGTATGAGCAGAGACCGAATAAAAT